TCCGAATTTGATTTCATTCACAACTCAGAGTCGCCGCCTCGAGTAAGATTTTTGTGTGATATCTACAGGCCATATCTGGTCCCATTTCACTTTGATTACCCTGTCAAACAGGTCAGCCTTCGCCCCTGCACGCGCGCCGTATATTTTCCGGCTTATTTTGCAAAACCAGTTTACATCCCTGTAAAAAATTTTTTAGTCAGAGTTTTAAGGGGCCTGCAAAGCAATTAGGTCATAATTCTGTCATTGTAGTATTCTGCATGGAAAATTTCAAAATATGACAAAATTCTGTGAAAATTTTTCAAATAAATATTCTGCAAGGATTGTGACCATATCTAGACTTCTTTTTCTATACTGCTTTAAAAATGTAAGCACAAATTAATCATAAGCTGGGAGGTAGCACCAGAGACACAGTAAATAAAAAACCTCAACAATTAGCAGCATACAATCTGCATTTTTGTGTAGAAATAAGCTGATAACATATAATACTTGCAAAAAGTGTGACCCATAGAAATGAGACACTATTGTTTGTATAATTTCAAAATCAGGTGAGCTGGCAGTTTGAGCTATGTCTTTGATACATTTGTAGCAGATTGCACAAACTTTGTACTCTATTCTTTTGGTAACCGGCAGTCAGGGAAGACCTTTCAGGATTGGCGTTACATGATCAAACTTTTTCTTTTGAACTATCAATTATGCTGCACAATTCTGAGCTGTCAGAATGCATTTGATGGGAAAAGCTCTCTTCAAAATGACAATTGTTTTTGATATATTTCATTATTTTGAAACTAATATCAAGAACATTTGTGGTTCAGAAAAGTGTGTATTGTTTACTTTTTTTCACTGAAACAAATGAAATCAATTGTGCTGATCTGTTCTACAAATATGCCAACTAATAAAAATAACCCAAAGTGCAACAAACTTTTCTACGTCTGAAAGCATAATAATTAGATTCAATAATGCTGCAAAATTTGGCTAAAAAAATCAAAATTCTACGGCCGCATCGTGGGTGAAGTTCCGCGACGCAATTGATCCATTTTTCCCACAATCACACCGCGGTTGCAGTGCCCGCGAAAAACTATGGTGACTGCATAATATAAGTGCAGAAGATTTGAAGTGTTACAAGAGAGTAACAAACACAAAAAAAAAGACAGAGGAGAGATTAAATGCTGATGGATGTTAGATAGGAAAGAAGAAGCAAACAATACTGCAGCAGCCGCCAATCACACACACAGCTTGGATTATTGTCACTTTTGTCCTGACAGTCATTCAGATTATGTGTACATGTGTGTTTGGGCTATTGTGTGTGGTTGTGTGTGTGTGTGTGTGTGTGTGTGTGTGTGTGTGTGTGTGTGTGTGTGTCTGTCTGTGTGTCTGTGTGCTTGTTTGTGTGTGTGTGTGTTTAGTTCATGTTTGTTTATGTGTGTGTGTGTGTGTGTATGTGTGTGTGTATAGTTCGTATGTTTATGTATGTGTATGTGTGTTTGTGTGTGCCTGTGTTGTATGCTGAAGAGGCATGGATACCCAAAATGTCTAAAGCATGTTTTTTTGTGTTGAAGCAACCTTTTTGTGATTTTCTCAAGACTCTTTCAGCTTCAGTAGTTTATGCTTATTATTGAGAAACTGACGTGTCTGGCGTAAAATATTTACCAAATTATTTTTAAAAGAGAAATTTCAAACTTGAAACAAGTACTGTACATAACACTCAATCTCTCTTGCCTCCTCCCCAGATGTCCCATACAGTAGTGCCCATCTGGCCATCTTGAGCGATAGTGTCATGGGCCACATTGAGGTACCCGGGGACACAAGATACCATATAGAGCCTGCCAGCAAACATCTAAAGGACAGCACAGCCCACACCATCATTTATCCAGAGAAAAAGATGAATCTGGATCCTTACAAGTAAACAGAATCACTGAGACGTTGACTCTCAAACTCACTGACTCTCTAACTAACTGACTCTCTGACTCCCTCAATAGCTGAATATCTAAACTCAATGACTTTCTGACTCTCTCACAAACTGACTCATTGACTCAGTGACTCAGTGACTCCATGACTTATTGACTCTCTGACCCACTGACTCACCGATGGCTGAGTTGCCTGCTTTTAGAAAATGTCCTTGGATCTTGGAGTTTGGGTCAGGATTCTTCGTGATCAGTGTAAGGTTGCTGGCTTAGGAATTTCCACTGTTCTTGAAGCTGTTCCTGGTGTTATGCAGTTGGCAACGTCTGTATTGCCGTTGGAAGTTTCTGTATTTGGAGAGTCATATCTCTTATTTACCAAGAGTAGAAACTAAGATTATTACCTAAAGAATTTCTATTGGAGAGATTAAACTCTACATTTTTGTCAATGGCAACATATACAGAGTCAGACGTAAAATCTTCCATGTACCATCTATTTTTGCTTCTACTACATAATGTAGTAAATATATTCCAGTACTGTTTATTCCATGCCAACTCTGTTTGACCTTTTGAGTATTTCTTTTTTCTGCAGGCATTTACGACAAAGCCCTTGTGGCATCAAAGAACACTATGAGAAATTGAACGAAATGTCACAGCCTGAGGCTGGAAGCTTGGCCAGACAGAAGAGAGAGGTAAAAGCAAGGCAACTATACAATAATACATATGTTAAGCATCATTTGAGGCATATATTTATGTATACTTAAACAAGCACACAATGAGAAAGTTAATGTACATGTGTACTTCAACAGCATACAATATTTGTTGATGTGCATTCTTTGAAAGGCATACTATTGTGTGCTTACTTGGACTGGCATTCAAGAAAAAAATATATACTATGGCAGGCATATAATGATAATATAGATTTAAATACTTTGACGAGCTAATACATTGGTATGTTCTATTTGACTGGCATACAATAACTGTATCCTTGTTTTAACTGGCATACAATGATATTTACTTGCATACCGTGACAGGTGCACAGTGAAACTGTCTGTCTGTCTGTCTGGCTGTCTGGCTGTCTGGCTGTCTGTCTGTCTGTCTGTCTGTCTGTCTGTCTGTCTGTCTGTCTGTCTGTCTGTCTGGCTGGCTGGCTGTCTGGCTGTCTGTCTGTCTGTCTGTCTGTCTGTCTGTCTGTCTGTCTGTCTGTCTATCTGTCTGTCTGTTTTGATAGGCATACATTGGTAATGTTCCTCTTTACTTTGACAGGCATACAATGAGGCTTGGTGGAATTCTCCTAACAAGTACTCTGAAGAAGTGAACACTCGTGTTCTGAGGAGGAGAAAAAGGGCAGCGCCGTTTTCCTCCGGAAAGACATGTTTCATGTTTCTGAGAGCTGACAAGCTTCTGTATGATCATATCCTCAGCCGACATTCCTCGTCTGGCTTGGTAAGTCTGTGGTGCAGTTGTTCTTGGCTTGAGTCCCCTGTGTTCTGTTTCTGAACTTGGGTTATTTTAAAGTGTTTTCAGGGCTCTCTGCCTACCTGATCTAGTCCTATGGGAGATAAAAGTTAAATTTGAAATTTGGAGGCCCTCATCTTGAACAGTCTTACGTGTTAGATGGGGCGTTCGACTTGTACAATTACCTTGTTTTAAATCCTTTGTGATTCATCATCTGCTGTGGGAAAGCAAAGTATGATATCTGAGCATGTTCTCTGTACGCCTCAAAGATCCCGCCTCCTAATTGATCTAAATCATTTCAATGGAGGAGGAAAACATTGCAATGAAAAAAGAAAGACCATCTTTCTCAACTCTTTTAGACGGGAAACATCAGTGTCAGGAGGGCAAAAGTGACTATACGGACAAAATCGATGATGACCTTTAACTCTTTAAACCCCATCGGACGCTCCAGCAGGAATTACCCTGTTCTCGTCAGATACTAGTGACAACTATTGCGTTTCATTTAGTGCTAGTTTCTTCTTGTTTTTCGGAACTATTCGCGATCCAAGTTATTTCAGTAATGACAAAGCCTTTATTTCGCTATTTAGAAGTTGGAATGAAGCTTTTGGGGTTATAATGATACATCGTGCACCAGGTTTAGGTGACTGTAGAAAAAACTGTGGGAAAAGGTGGAAAAAACTCAGGGTTTAAAGAGTTAATAACAAATGCATTTGTTTTTAAGGCTGCACGTCGGGGGATTGGTTTGGGCAACTGGTCTATTAATAGTGTGCACTAAAGCTGCCAGAAGCTGAACTGAACCGAACCGAGTGAATCCTCCAATGACACTGCCTATAAGCCTGCCTTTTTCATTGTCTTTCCACTGAATCTCTACTCACACCTGTGGAGGAATGGCTTGGCTCTTCACTGTTGTATGCAGGAGACATAAGTTTGTTTCCCAAGTAGGAAGTTGTTTTTTTGTTGAGTCATTCCGTCTGTCTCGTGAGATGATATAGCTTTCTCAGGCAGATGCAGTTGGCCCTTGTTATGTTACAACTTACTTGAGTCTTGGAGTAGTAGATCTAGATAATAGTTGATGTTGGTGGGGGCCCCACCTGCCGATCGTCTGCTAGTTCTTCGTTAGCCGATGTTACTCGCTTCGGCTTCAGTGAGAGAGTGACCTTCAGATTTTCCCGCCGCTTGCACGAAGTCACAGTCACGTGATACGTCCCTTAGGCCTACGTCACAATAATTATTATTAAGGTGTGTTTACGCTACATGTCCTTCCATTCTTAAGGTGCGTTTACACCACAGCCCTAATATGTAGAGTTGCAGCAGCCCGCCTCCTAAGTGATCTTAAGTAGCATTAAAGGGGTTGTAAGAAATTTACAGAAAAAAAAAAAAAATGAATAAAAAAACCCCCACTGCAACGTTGAAAGATGCTATTAACCTGTACGATAATTTCTTTCTTTCTTCCCCATTTTGATTCACAGTCTGCTGCCGAGAAAGCAAAGGAAGAAATTCTTAGCATGTTTTCTGTCCACGTCAATGCTCTGAACAGAATCTACGGAAACACGATATTTCAGAGGCAGGTGTCAGTGAATAACCCACCAGTAAGATTCACGGGCGTTCAGTTTCAGCTCCAGAGAACGAAGGTAAGGAAAAAGTTATGTGAAAGGAGTAAAAAGAAGAAAGGAAACATCTATTGCTTAAAGTGTTTGATAGAAATATGTGAATTTTTATAGAACATTTGACCTCTAAATGGGTTATTCATAGCCTGTAATAGACAGACCATCATCTTAACTCATTTCATCTTGTCTCATTTCATCCAATTTCATCGTACTTTTTCCCAGATTTTCGACAATTGCGAGGGTGACATCAACGACGGCTACTGCACCAACAACCTGGATGTGAGCAATTTCCTTGATCTGACAGCCCGCGAAAATCACAATGAGTACTGTCTGGTGCATACCTTCACCTACAGGGACTTTATCGGGGGTACTCTTGGTCTTGCCTGGGTAGCTAAGCCAGAGTGTGAGTACCTCGTGTGTGTGTGTTTTATAGGAAATATTGAAAAGAATAATGAAATGATTACAGAAAAAAGTAATAACAGAAAAAAAAAGACAACAAAAGATTTAATAAAATAGATTCCTCTCAATCCAGATAATTTACTTCTGAACCAGTGTCTGTGGTGTAACTGTTACATTCTTCTCTGTTACATGTAGGGGACATGAGTCATAGATTCTCATGTTATTATGTATGCACTCTCTCTCTCTGTCTATCGGAATGCTGTACCCCCAGTATGCCCGCATTGGCCCTCACAGGCTAAGACAAAGGAGCCCACCTCTATGTGATTTCAATTGTTTAGATGGGGGCGTAAAAATATTAACAGTAAATCAACCAACATATTACAGAGATTCTGCTTCTGTCATGTATCAAGGAAGTTATTTTAAGATTTTTCATTGGTCTATATCTCAGCTGGGTCATCGGGCATCTGTGGGCGGTACACACGGATTGCTGACAGGTCTGGAGCGACATCTATGAAAAGCCTCAACACCGGTGTGGTCACGTTTATCAACTTCAAACAGGACGTGCCCCCTAGGGTCTCCCAGCTTACATTTGCCCATGAAGTTGGCCATAACTTTGGTTCTGAGGTAGGGCCCAAGCATTTCTCTAGCAGAAGTGGAATGGAGTCTTCATATCAATCATTCAGCTGTCCTTCTTTTTTTCTTGTCCTTCCCTGTCCTTTGTCAAATGCAATACCTTGCTTGAGAACACAAGAAAAATAGAGAAGTGAACTAAATGCTTGTAAAAGCAAAAATCCTTGTTACTTTCAAATAAACAGATTCACACAAATGACAGGCATCATATTTGATAGACACCAATGAGTTTTGCTCACCCTGTAAAGAAGGTTCAAATAGAGTAACTCATTTTTCTTGCGATAGGGAGGGTATAGTATGTGCAATGGTAAGTTTCTATATATAACCCTAGTGTCATCAAAATAGCTGCACTGTGATATGTTTAAAGTTTCTATATTTTAAAATAACTTACTTACTTACTTACTTAGCCAATTGCTGTTAAGCAAATTATCACATTTGATAAAAAGAGACAGGGGAGAGAAAGAGAAGTAGTTGGAGGGATTTTATGGAGACTCCATTCTTCTTTCACTGTTCTCTTCACATAAATTGCCTGATGCTCCATTCTTCAATGTTTTGTCTGGGAAGTATTAAGAGTATCGGAAGTACTTTTCTTAATTTGTAAAGTTGCACTTAAAATCAAGTAACAAATGCAGTTGATTGTCGTGTGCAATTTGGAGGTCTTTCTATCTTCTTTCGTTTCCATCTCATGTTTGTGTCTTCTATCTTTCTTTTTTCCAGTTACTACAAAATAACAGTTATTCTGTTAGTGTGCTCTCTTTCCTAATAAAAAACACATAACAGAGAGCATATGTGAGGCATCATAGTGAAATCAGGCACTCGTCGAAATAATGAAATGGTAAAAAAAGGCATTTTTCTACCACTTCGGTAATTTTATCAAATTTTTGTTTTTTGGCTCAACACCTTTTATGTCCATATACTTTATTTTTTTGATCCAGTGGCCATCTGGGTTCAAGCCCTTCGGCCTGTTGATATGGCAAAGAATACTTATGTCCATATAAAAACACATTTCCATATGATTTTTACTGAAAAATGTTTAAAGGGACAAAATATGTAACTTTTTCAGTTTTCAAGGACTCTCAGGCTATTGAAGTTACCAAACTTTGGTGGCATAATTTTCTCGCTACTTTTACCTCTAAAACCGGGTGACTCTTCCTCTTTCCATCGCAAATATCTTGACTTCAATTCATATTCATGGTAGAAGGGTATTTTTTTCCCTTGAAAGCAAAGAAAATGAATAAACTTTCAAATAATACCAATAACTCTACATGCCCGAAAATTGACGAGTGCCTGATTCCTTCGTGTTGTAACATATACTATTTATGTATTTATGCAAATATTGTTACATGAGTACCTCTATTGTGAAATTTGGTTGCAGGACATAGAATTGTCCTTGTTTTTTCCTTGCCAGGGTAATTTTCTTTATAATACATATCTGGTGGCCCCCTAGATGGTATTTTTCTTTTTTTCATTTCTAGTGCTTTGGTTTGGCTTTTTAAAATGAATGTCCCCTACTCAATAAGGCTTTGCGGGTGTGCCAGAGGTAGGACCTCCTTTTCACCCCTCTTTTGTCTCTCTCTGTCTATCTTTTTTCCTGTGCTTTAAAAAGACTGTTATCATGTTAAAGTGCTTTTCTTTACTGAGTCTGAGCAAGACTTTGCTGTGTAGCGATGTCTGTAAGGCCTCATTGGTAACTTGTTGAGCTCACATAATATGCTCCCTGTGGTTGAACTGGTTTTCTTGTTCATATGAAATTTTTGTGTGTGTATGTATAAGATTTTACTCTCCATAATACTCTGTCGTTGACCAGATGACAAGGACATGTGGTTACTTGAGGGAGGCATTGCGCTGCCAAGAGCGAAATGCTCGCAGCTAAAGGGATTTGAAGAAAACAACAACTCTCCGTAATCGTGCCAGCGATGTAAAGTGCTCAAAGCTTATACTTGTATAGAATAGAGTGGTATATAAATGCAATCTGTTATTATTATTATTATTATTATTATTATTATTATTATTATTATTATTATTATTATCTGATTTGAGTGCTTTCTCTTTCTCTAATTTTCTCAAAACTTCCCAAAAATGGTTTAGGGACTTATGGAATGATGCTGACTTGTTATTATTTCTTTCCGACCATCCTCACAGCATGACCCCACTTCGACAGAATGCGCCCCGTACGGCACAAACTTCCCAGATGCTTCAAAGGGCAACTACATCATGTTTGCCAGTGCCGCCCAGGGAAATCTGCCTAACAACGATCTCTTCAGCACTTGCAGCCGCGACTACATCTCCAAAGTGCTGGAGACTCTGGGTACAGAGAGAACTGACTGCTTCAAGGGTAGGTCAAGCACTTTGTAGAAATATTGTTTTTCGTTTTTAGTAAGAGACGGATTTATGATGTTTCCAATACAAATATATCCTATAAGTGCCAAAATTTAAAGCTGTTACGAGAGAGTAACATACAAGGATGGTAGATATTTGATAGGAAAAAAGGAGCAAACACACTAAGCGCCTGCCAACCACCCCCTAGAGATGTATTGATGGTATTGTTTTCTCTAAATATGTTACTGGTTTCTTGTAAATCTTTCAACTTGCATACACCCTGACACACTGGTTTCCATCTATCCATTAGGAGGCTAAAAATATGCAAAATTACAAAAGTTTAACACCACAAGCAACACTGTTAGGTTGTTTAAGAGGCGGGACCTCTAAATTTAACGCCCATCTCTGATAGGACTAAGCCGAAGGAGAAAATTCGTGTAAAATGCCTTTCCCAAGGACATAATGTCGGACGAAGTTGAAACGTTGAACCACCGAACCTGCAATCCCAGTATTGTGAGTCTGATTGCCTAACCACCACACTACTGACACCACCGCTGGGATGCTGTATCCCGTTCAGCTGTGGTTGGTTCTGAAAGCCATAGTCAAAGAAGCCCGCCATTTAAATAATCAAGATTGTATAGATAAGGGCCTCAAACATCCTTGGAACATTTACAATCGACCGACATTCCCCGGAGTAAAGCTTCTTTACTGGACAGACCAAGGATGAAGAGAGTTTTTGCAGTGTCTTTATATGGGTCTGTAGAGTTGATAAAATGATTCAGTTTCTCCTGACCTATAGTTTACACCTCTGTTTGATACATAAACCCCCACAATGATTTTTCATATCCTTTTTCTTCCACTTCCTCTCTACGACTGACAATAACATACAGAAAGTGCTACCAGTCAGCCAATAAGTCTCCTGACAGACCATTGTAACAGCACTGTCATTGCAGGTTAAGGGGTAAAATTTTAGTAAAAGGGGGTGTCCATTAGAGGGTGGATTCCTTTCGGTTCAGTTAAGTTTCTGGCGGCTTCAGTGCACCCCGCAAATAGACCTCTGCCTTTAAACCGATCACCAAGGAGGTGTATTGTTATAAGGTCCTTGCCGATCACCCAACTCATGACCCTTGAAATTTGAAGGTCATCATCAGTTTTGTTCAGTTTGTGCACGATGGTAGCTTTTACCCCTCCATGGAACAAAATTTTGCTAGCCCCAACAACGGAACCGACCTGAGCTGATGCTGTCAATGGGCACCACTTGTTATAGTTAAACTCTTTGCTGTTGCACACAGAAAACGTTGGGTTCAATATGCATGTGGGGAAGTGTTTTTTATAGAGTGTTTCCATCTTTCTACAGGGGTAATGAATCTCTATGAGCCAGGGTTGACACACACAGGTACATTTAGGGCATTACGTTGTCATGGGAATGGAGGCGAATTTAGTATAAACACCGACAACAATACCAACACCACAGTTATTTGTAGGGTGAATAATACGGGATGGGTCATTTAACGACATTCTTCTTGGATGAATGAAAAAAGGGGAAACTACCAAATCCCAGAAATTGAATTCTTTTTTCCCTGTTCCCCTGCACTAAATGTGGTTGAAAGATGCATCTGATGTGATATGTGCATTATTGTTAGCTTTACTTTTCTCCTCAGATTGAATTTTAATGAGAGTAATATATAATTTTATTTCTATGTAAACCCACATGTGTTTTTAAGATAAGATAAGATAAGATAATAAGATACATCTTTACTGTCCAGATCCTGACACATTGGTTTGGTGTTTCACCAAGTGCACACACGCGCATACATGCACACACACACACACACACACACACACACACACACACACCGCACGCACACGCAGGCTTACTATCACATGCATAATATATATGAGCAGCAATATTAACAATAACAATCTTAAGCTAGATACATAGGCTACTCAATATTATTCTGATGCATGCTCTAAGGTTGTATGAATGCTTATACAAGATGATTAAGATGGAAGAATTTTGATGGATGATGGTAAAAATGACCTTCTGTATCTTTCTTTGTAACAGATCAGAAGCCTAGGTCTTTTACTTCTGACTGATGTTTTTATTTAAGGGAACAAGGGATGCTTGTTGTCTAAAAAGATGGAAATAATTTTTTTAGTGTAAGCTGTTGTGTACAGCTATTGTACAGTCAAGAAAAATTTCCCTCAGGGACAATAAAGTACAGGTCTCTTCTGTCTTATGTTATCTTAAATGTGAAGCAACACGTCAAGAAGAGTCACTTGTTACACACAGCTGTTCAGAGATATCGATGAGAACTTCAATTTTCTTAAAGCTGTTTGTTTCTGACTCCACAGCGTAAAATGAGTATAACTTTTTAACGTAAGCAGCAAGACTTAAGATTTTCACTCCAACAAGTACAAGTTGGGCTTGAACTGGTCTCTAATTTTGATATCCTTATCAATATACAGGGAAACCTGCTCTAACGGCCACCTGTATAAGACAACCACCTGTACAAACGGCCATTTTCCTTTTCCTCCTTGCTTATTTTTAAATATTATAATGACACTGTGTAAGACGGTCACCTGTCTAAGACGGTCGTGAGACGGTCGGCTACTTCTCTCCTCGACAACAGGTGGCAGTCTTAGATAGTTTTGACTGTGTTGCCAAAATAGGTCATGTGACTCATTTTGTCATGTTGCTACAGAAATAACCATCACTGTTTAGATGTACTTCTCTGTACTAACACTTTGACAACACGCTTTGTCTTGTGCTTTGTCAGCTTCCAACCAAGCCTTCTGTGGCAACAAAGTGGTGGAGCAGGGTGAGGACTGTGACTGCGGCTACGAGGACGAGTGCACAGATATCTGTTGTGAGCCACGACGGAGCGGGGACGTGCAGAACAGCTGCAAGCTCAAGCCTAATGTGGCTTGCAGGTAATAATGATAATAATAAGGGAGTGCTTATTTAGACCTGACATTATTTAGGCCACCTGTGGCCTAAATAAGGTTTCCCCCTCCCTGGAACAGTATTTAGGCCACATATATGCTCAAACTACCCTTTTCACTTAACTGAGTTCGTTTCACTTTCATAATTATGCACCTTTCTCATTTAGTACAGTTTTGTCTCAGTATACAACTTATAAATCATAATCATAATGAAAATTGTAAGAACAAAGCACAATACACGAAATCCCAATGGTTTGAATGAGGGCCAGATTTTTCCTTAATGGAGGGGCAAAAAGCTAGGCTATCATTTTGGCACACTTTGGTCAAGTGAAAAGGTCAAATCCTCCGAATGGACTTCCGGGTCAAATTAGGTGTATAAAAAATGTGTACTCAACGTGGCTGAGTCAAAGTTGCACTATCTTTGCCTTAGTGGCACTCTCTTCTACTGTCTCGTAGTAGTACATGTAATAGTAGTAGTAGCAAAGATCATGTAGAGAATCTTTAGTAGTACATCTTGTAGGCAGTTTAGTGAACGTGCACTTGGCAGGGCGAATCGGCCTCGATACGCCCCGTAGACTTTTTTGATCGGCCATGAAGCCTCATGTTTTGATGGGTCTAAACAACTCAGTGTTAATCACACTGCCACATCCGACAGGCCTACATTTTTTTTTAAGGAAAAGAAAGATCCTCAAAATGGTTGTATTCGTGTGAAAATCGATTCAGTAGAACTGGAAATATTAAAAATTTTTCTGAAAACAAGGCAATTTTTACAACGCGATGAAATAAAAACTACTGGCTGTGTTATTCTGTATATAAATTATGAAACTTAAGGACGTATTATTATTTTCCAACATCTTTTGACGCCTGAGCTGTATAGGTTGAAGTTTTAACAACACTAATAGATCTAGTAATAGGGCTTTCCGTAAAAATGCAGAGATCTAGGTCTCACCGCTGTATAGACTTTCAAATTTGGCGAAAGGGAGTTGTTCAGGTTATCCGTTTCTTTCGCCAATGCGCGGTAATTTGTTCTGTGGTGGGAGTTCGCCAGAAGAGCTCTAATAGGTTCTGGCAGCAGCAGTAAAAAATATGGCGAAAAAGAAAACACGGTTTGTGTCCTCCCAACAAAGCTAGCATTTTTTCCATCATCTCAGAGAGCCTGTTATCGCCCAGTTCTTATATGCTCAATAAGGCTACTGCTTTTTCTTCCTCTGATAAACTCTAGGCCTCTTTAAGGAAATGCTTGAGTGTGTCATACTTTTGACTTGAAGGAGGTGAGGAAATTATGGATAGGGATCTTGCTGCTGTATGTTCTAGGTTATGCTAAATTTAATCTAGATCTCTAGAAAAGGTTACCTTAAATCACGTCGGGGTCACCAATGTAGCATGAAGAGACACTCACACATGTAAGTCATTGCAGGACGAGACTTAACTTTCATACATTCCACCCGAACAGCTTGGACACTTTCACTGAACTGTCACTCATGAACTCGAGTGCGACGTACTACACATAACAACAACACACCTCAACAAATTGGTCTTAAGGTTTGTCGCCACATAAAAATAATAATAATAATAATAATAATAATAAGTAATAATAATAAATAATAATAATAATTATTATTATTATTATTGATAGCATTTGTATAGTTGAAATTCCCGCTGGACAGCAAGCTCTATGTTTTTACATTCGATATTATTACTCCAGCAAACCTGATAGCTTTCTGAAACAATCTCAACTTCCTGGGAAGCTCATTGTGCAAGCTGTCATTTTAAAGGCGCTAAAACACTAACATACTGAAAAGATCTTTTGCTGTCTATGGCCGACCCATTCACACCTGAGTGAAGTGAGGAAAATTCATGTAAAGTGCCTTTCCCAAGGACACAATGTCGGGCCTGAGGCTCGAACCCCTGAACCAGCAACATGATGATTACGAGTCTGGTAGCCTAACCACTAACCTACCGATGCCAAGGCAGTAAATTATGATTCTGGGTTAAAGACTTGTACAGTCAGGCACAGATGACATGAAGATAGACCATTAAAAAATTATGGATAGCGTATACAATTTGCCATTCTCTGACTGGTATCTCTGTAATGTTTTGTTATCTGTTAACTTGAATCGTGAATGTGAAAAACAAATTTGTCAATCCCTGATGCGTTCGAGATATCCATGCTGAACTGAAGTTATGATTATTTGCTTTGGGGAGAGGGAGGGCAGGATTTAGGTAATTATCTTTTTTTGTTGAGGATGGGTGGAGGGAAGGAGGGCATGGTGGAGGTTACGATTATTTCTTTTTGGGATGGATGAATGGCGGGGAGGGGGGGGGGGGGTTGGATGGAATGGTTGTGAATATTTTTTCTATAGAATGTTGGTGGATTGAGGGAGAGCAGGGTGGGAGTGTAGTGTCAAATGCAGTGCTCTACTGGACTTACTACCATTTAAGCTTTATTAATCAGTCAATCCGAAATTTCTATTAAATGTTCTTTTCTCCTCTTCTTTATAATTTCTGGGCACTCCGCTGAATACACATGCTCAGGCCAGTTGTTCCTCACGCCTGCTTGAGGGTACTGTAGTACAGCAGTCCCTGCCTAAGATCCCACCGCTTACGGTTTTGGTTCGCTTAAGATCCCGCTGTCTTAAAAAAACAGAATTTTTACTACACAAAAGTCACCCCTAAGATCCAGCTGTGAGGGTCTACATTGGCTAAGATCCTGCATTTCAGATCGTGGTTTACGGAACAAAAACCGAGGCACAAAAGATCAACCAAGAGTGAAAATTTTCAATCATTGTACTGCTTGTCACATCACAGATCAGCTACTGTTGTGAATGTGATTGCTTCTGTTGTAAATCTCGATGAAACGGTATAATGTTTGCTCCTGGCGGGATCACACTGAGGTGTGGACTTACCGATGCGTTTGTTTTCCCCCTACCATAGCACTCGCATCTGAGCTCTCCACCTAAATTTACATCACATGCTGGGTTGGTGGGGCCAACTCCAGAATTTTTATTGGTTTGGTCACAGCACAATGGCACTCTAAAACAGAGGCAAGGGAACTCGGTCAGTGATGGAAAGCTATAAGTTCTGGACAACTAAATGGGAGGAGCAAATGGATTAATGTAGATCTTGAGACTTGCGATAGAATAATAAGTGAAAATGGCATGTCTTATGCCACTGTGATTGGTCTTCACGGCTGACCACTCTTTGCTTGCCATAAGTCATACACCCACCCAGGGGTCATGTCAGTTCATTTTAGAGTAAAGAGAGACCATTTACCGGTGGTGGACCTAAACATGGGTCACTTTAGATTCTTCCTTTGGTGTGTCGGCTAAGATCCTGTTCCCCTAAGATCTCGCTTTTAGACAGAGACTATTGTATTATCTGATAATAATTCTTCGTCCGTCAATATCTGATGATGACCAATGCATCAGCAGAGGAGAATATTTCTAATACAAAATAGAATGAGAAGATGTAAAGGTTAAGATGTGTTGTGGCTTCTTCTACAGCCGATGAGACCAAGCCTGGCAGAGAAAGTTTACCACATTTTGAGTATTCAAAGCTCCACTTTCACTTGTTGATGTGTGCAGCTTGCAGGTTCCTCTCTTGGTTTTAGCATTTTTTGTTCATGAAGCCTCATATGACCCACTGCCCACTGTTACTGCTACTCTCCAAATGGGTCTGTCAGGACCTGGGCGCTCCCGTGTCAAAGGATTTCTGTGTGGTGGGTGCTCTGGTGCTCCTTCTTTCTCATCTAACATCCATCATTCTTATCTCTCCTACTTTTTTGTTTGTTTGTTACTCTATTGTAACACTTTTAATCTTTGGCACTTATATGACCTTATTGTGTTTCAAGTGCAGTAAAACTCTTTCTAAAACTTTAAAAGAAAGCCAAAAAAACCCCTTGGAGTACTTATTGTCTATCTACAATGAAAAGAATTCCCCTACATTAACGGTTGCTTTCTATTTGTCCACAGTCCTTCCAAGGGTCGCTGTTGTAGCAACGACTGCAGGATTCTTAACAATACAGAAGTTTGCCAAACAGACTCGGAGTGCCAAGAATCATCTAGATGTGATGGATATCCTTTGTTTAGTCAGTTTTTTTTTATTGTACAGAAGTCTCTTTGCATAGGGCTCTCTTCCTTGGTGGTTATACTTTTTGGGGTTTTTTTCCCGTTGTTTTGGTTTTCTTGGCCTTCTTCTCTTGTTGTGGTTGTTGCTGCTGCTGTTGTTTTTCTTTTTTTCACCTCCTCCTCCTCCTCCTCCTCCTCCTACTCCTCCTTCTCCTCCTCCTCCTCCTCCCTCTTCCTCAGCAAGCATCTATTTTTCCAAGCTCTCTGTGCATGCTTCCTTTTTGAGGGATGCTTAGACTCTTTGTGTAGGATTAAAATCAATAATTCTGATGTGTAGTTGAGTGTTCTAGAAACACGTAGCAGTTCTAAGTTATGCAGGAAAAATAATGTGCTCCGTTAGCTTGACAGTGTAGAACTCTTTTGGACGCTGCATCTTGGGAAAAGGTCAGCACATCAAAAACCTCATGTTCATCTGGCCTATTCCATTCATCACATGGGTGGTTGGTTGGTGCTCTGGTTTGGTTTGCTCCTTCTTTCCCCATCAAACGTCTATCGTCCTTGACTCTCCTCCTTATGTTTTGTATTTGTTACAGGGATGGAAATTTTTGGTAAATTTACTGATATCCGTAATTTTGATTTGTTCCGTCATTTACTTACCTACTTTCAATGGTGAGTCATTCTACTGTGATGTGTACTAATGTACAATTGAATAAGTGTATTTTTCCAAAAACTGTATAGCCCGCGAAAAGTACTGTAAATTTTGGATTGATCAGTTTCCATCCCTGTTGTTATTCTCATGTAACACCTCTAAGTGCTTTGGCACATTTACGACCTAATAATTGTGCTGCAAGTGCCGTAAAACCCTAACTAGGAAAAAAAACCCCACTCATCAGTGCTGTAGTATTTTTTCTGATGCTTGCTCTGCTTTTCCAGTGATACCTTTATTCAACAAGGATGGCTTCCCCAGAATGTATTTATAATATGTGAGGCGTGCTGACAAAATGAGTTACTTCTCGCAGTCAACAAATGGAGATATTGACCAAAAATTGACACTATAGGGTCAAATTTGTACATTTTCTATAGATGCCATATTCTTTAAGCATAACACTCCTTATATTTCATACCTATAAATTGTAAAAACTTCACCTATAAGTGTGATGTATCTATTTTCTTAAGGCCTGAATCCGAGAAGTAACTCTTTTTGTCAGCACGCTTCACATATAGATTTTGCTCCCTCTGCTGTCCACCTCTTGTTTTAGTAAGTGTTTAACGGCATTTGCAACGGAATAAGGTCTAATAAGTACCGAAGATTAGAAATATTACCGGAGAGTAACGAACACAAGAAAGAAGGACAGATAAAGATGATAGATGTTTGACTGAAAAGAAGGAGCATACCACACCAGAGCACCTGCTAACCACCCATGTCCATCTCTAAAAGGGGCGGAGGGTGGATTTAACATAATCTGTGGTGTGACAAGATGTGTATTCGATTCCCAGATGGGGTAGTTTTTGATTAGGTATCTCCACCTATCTGCTGGGATGCTGTATCCCACTGATTTTGGGTTGGCCCTGACATGGTCTTAAAAGATATAAAGTGTGTCTGTCAATGGGGTGTGAAACGTTTCCAATTTAGAAGAGTGTTGAATTACAATTTCCAATTTCCAGGAGTTTTGGGTAACAATTTTCATTGCTTAACTCTGTAAACCCCACTGGATGGTGTTAGTGTCTGGCGGTAATAACCCCTTGTTCCCCATCAGATGCTGGGAGTGTCTACTGTTTTATTTCATGTACGATACCGTAGTGCAAGACTTTATTCTTTGAACCCAAGTTCTTTAATTACGACTAAGCGATGTTTCAAGGTCAGATTGTGTTTTTAGAGCTAAGTTTTTTCCCCCTCTTTGTTTACAAGTGTTTCATTGTTTTGAGAAAGTGGGCATTGGCCATTATGGCTGGTAGATGTAAACTGACTCTAGATGAGGCATCGCAGTTGCTAGAAGAAATTCAGCTTGAAGAATTGAGTGGCAGTAGATTTTCACATGATAGTGAGGACTCTCTAGAATGAGGGTAATAGACACCAACAAACTGACAAGATAATTCGCTGTCTATAGCCGTGTATCTATTCCCACCTCAGTAAAGTGAGGAAAATTTGTGTAAATACCTTTCGCAAAGACTCTATGTCAGGCCCCTGATAGGGTTGGAACCTTTTTAGTTATCAGCTCAACAGCTTAACCACTTGACCACTCATGAAAATGTAAAACATTTACAGTCCATCAAAGATAAATAGCGCGTTCATATGACCGTATGCAGTTGCGAATGCCATAAAACTCTGACCAAATCAAGTACAAAAATAGGATTCACCTTCTCCCCTAAATATAATTGTACAACGAGAGACATTAAAGCCAAACAGTATGCCTTTGTTTACCCGAGCACACCAAAAGCTCTTTTGATTTCATGCTTGGCTATGTAGCCGATGATCCTGGTTTGAATCCTCAATGGGGCATTCTTGACCATGGGTCGTTTAGGGAATGTTTAAAGTTCTCTACCTTATTGGTGTGGTCCTGTTTGAAATGGATGTTGAAGTTGGAGGTACTGCCTCTTAAATAACCATGAAATGAGAAATGGGTATTGAATCCAATGTTAAGTTTGAATAATCTGCCTCATAAGTCATTTTCATTGTTGAAAGGAGTGTTGTAGTTATGTGCATTAACCAGTTTTTGCCCTTAATTTCTGTGCACTACAAATCCCATATGCCCTCCTGCTGATGACAAGCAAAACTTCACAACTTTTTGTCAAGACTACAGCAAAGTTTGTGATAGTGGGGTAAGTATATTGCACATTTTAACATTGCTGTCATGAGAAAATATAGTAATTCTTATGTTGATTTTTTTTTACCTCACCCTGTAAAGCAAAGTCAGACAGAGTTTGATATTTCAAATTATTATTACTCTACGAATGTGAGGCCTAGTGGTGCAATCATGCTCTCCTCAAAATAATGAAATCAAAGAACTTGGCATTTTTCTGACCACTTAGCTTTTTTTTCTGAATTTTCTTTTTCTTGGTTTAACACCTTTTATGTCCTTTTCAAAAGATATTTTTGTGAGGATTTTACTGAAAAATGTACATTTTCAGTTTTCAAGGACACCCAAGCTATGGAAGTCATAAAACTTTGGTGGCCATTTTCTCTCTAATTTTACCTCTGACACCAAGTGACCCCCAACTCCTTCAGTTGCATATATCTCGAATTCTATTCAAGACAGATGGGGATTTTTTTTCAACAAAAGCAAGGCAAATGAACAGGCTTTAAGATGATACCAATAACGCTGTATACGCTAAAATCGACGAGCACCTGATTCCACCGCATCATGACACATATTTCAGATTAAACTTGTTACAACGAAGGAAGGAAAAGACTTATGACTTGTGTGAGTAAAGCAATTAAAATTGTGTCAGTAGAGATGAAACATTTTGGCTTGACCTGTTTTCTGATGATGTGTTAACTTCACAGCAATGCCAGGCCTCAGTGTGTCAGTACATTGGCTGGGAAGAGTGCATGCTGAGCAAAGCCGATGGAGCCTCTGATGGACAGATGTGTTACGAGTCGTGTCGTAAGTCTTTTCACTGGTGTTGTAAGTGTGTCGTTTGTGTTTTTGAGTCAGTTATACCACGAGTGTTTGGCAGGCTGTTGGAAGGTGCTAGTGGGTGGTTGGTGGGTGCTCTAGAGCGGTTTGCTCCTTCTTTCCTATCAAATGTCTATCTTCCATATCTCTCCTCATTGTTGTTTTTATGTGTTTGTTATTCCCTTGTAATAGCTCTAATATTCAGCACCTATATGACCTTATTGTGTTGTCATAAAACTCTTTTCAAAACTAAGTACAGTAGTCTCCGCCTAAATGCACGCCATACAAAAGCACGCTCCGCTCAAACACACGCTTTCTTCATCTGACGGGTTTTTTACTATATAATTTAGACGTGCAAACGCACGGTCACTCCCTCTAAACGGACGCTTCAATCCGCGAAACACGCCGACAGGTTACGCTTGATGAGGATAAATTTTCACTACAGCCTGCGCAGCCTGCATAAGACAAGCATAGAAAAGGGATATTTGGTGAGACTGCCCCTCACGCCGAACAAAGAGAGTGATGGACAGCGTTTTCACACCCTACTTTCCACTGACACAGTGGTCTCGGTCTAGGGCCGGTCGGTTAAATGTTGAGGGGGAGGGGTGGGGGAGGGGGGGGTTGGGGAACTGAAATGTTTTTTGATTGGTCACTGGAAATGTATCTTTGTTGAGAGAAAGTTTCCGACTGGTGTTTGGATGACTGCGTGTAATGTTTTGTTAGATCTAGGCCTGATGCGCGACACGCGTAAGTGCCGTAAAACACTAGACAAGTTTCTATAGGATTAACGATTAGCCAAGTAAGCCTAATCAGCTGCACTCGAAGAACTTACAATGTACTTGTTCAACGAATCACAAGAGAAAATGTTTCTCTGAATGTAGAGAATGATTCTGCATGAATTGACGGTCGGAGATGGTCGCTTAGAAAGCCACGTGGCTGGTCCGTCGTCTCTATGACTATCACCACCAAGTTTCCTCTTATGGGTATCGGTTCCCAACGTTTATAGTGCATATCCATTACAATGAGTCTGCCCCCCACCCCCCCTTTCAACGCCTTTGTATTCTTAACCCCTGTCGGGGAATCTTTCACAAAACAGTCACATGTTGTCACATTATCTGCCGAAATGACCCCCTCTCTCCAAGGGAGGTCACTAGAGTAATTTAAGGAATTGAGATGACTGCGTCCCTTCCTCCCCTTGCAAAGGTTCATGTAAACGCACGCTCCGTATAAACACACGCTAAGGAGTCCTCCCGAGCACCGTGCATTTAGGCGGAGACTACTGTAACTAGATGGACATTTGGTTGGATAGAAATCCTTTTTAGGCTGGAAGTTGCCTACTCCTGTATTAAATTATGAAGAAGTAGAAATAAACCTTTTTTCTTTTCAATTTCCCGTAGCGTATGTAAAAGAAGTAATTTCACTCTGTGCATTTTGAAGGAAAAAAATCTATAGCTTATGTTAAACCTTCATTTTATAATATGATAACAAATCTGCTGGTCTTTCAGGAGCATCCCCCGATAGTGAATGCATCAGCTCTATTGATGCGGCGAAGATTAATTTGCCTGTGAACAAGAACTTCAGGGACTTGCTCCAGCGAATCAGAGAGGGGAAGAATTCGTCAGACACCTCTTTGGGCATTAAGAAACCTCCAGGTAAAAACATGTTTTTGCACACACCCCCTCCCCCACTCACCACCCTCCCACACACACGCATACACACTCACACACTCATACATAAGCACACACACACACACATACACACACACACGCACGCACGCGCACACACACGCACACACACTCACACACTCATACATAAGCACACGCACACACACACACACACACACACACACACACACACACACACACACACACACTCACTCACATATCGGCACTGCGCTAGCAAAATGGCACATCTCATTTTTGCTACGGTAGGCTACTTTTTAGATGAATGGAAAAAAAAACCTGTTTAACTAGACTATTTATCTTCTAGCATTAAGCATGGTAAAACTTTCCATGCATATTTCTTTTTTGACAGCCAACACAGAGATAGATATACTTACTTTACTTTTACTTTTTCCTTCCTCTGGTTTCCTTAGGATGTCGAGGGGAGGTGCAGGTTTTCGGCTCTGTGCTAGGTGTGTAGCGTCTGTCATAGATATGTTGTGTTTTTCCAGGACCTTTTTGACACTATCCAGCCTGGTCTTTCTTCGTCTTCCTTCGTCTTCCTCTTGATTTGAAGCTGGATTCTCGGGTGTTGTAACTTGTAAGCTCTAGCCGCTAGTTGTTTCTGGGGCCTTCTGGTTAGATCTCCAAACCATTTGACTCTTTGACGCTCTATGAATTTTATTACTGGTGGTATTCCGGTTTGTAGACGTATGGTTTTGTTTCTTATGCGGTCTCTTCTGGTGAGGTTGATGGTTTTGTGGAGACACCTCATTTCCCATGCACTGATTTTTCTTTCCTGTGCCTTTTTTGTTTGTTTTTTTAGCCTGCCCAATTCTGTCATCTGACGCTTTTGTGTTTAGTAATAACAACAAACTGTGCTGCATTTTGGGTTTTGAAATTAGCTGTTAGTCTTAGAGTAAACACACAGGAAAATGTTTTACGTATAAATAAATACATTAATAAATAAGTAGATACATATGTTTCTTCACTCTTATAATTATAACGTTTTTTGGTAAGTTACACATCTAAGTAGGGCGAAAAATCTCGGAGGGCCTGTGTGCAAGTTGCGCACGTTAAGGATCCCTTGGTGGTCTAAAATCGATAAGAATAGGCTTCGACCGCCACGCGGGCAAAATTCAAAATTTCCTACCAACTGAAAATATTAGGAGTGTCCCGCGCGCTCATATGACCTATGCAGTTGCGAGCGCCGTAAAACACTTTACAAAAACAAACACATCTAAGTGTTACCATACCCCTAACTGGAAATGGCTACCACAACTGGTTAGTAGTTAATTGTTTAGATCATGTTAGTCCTACTTTCCTCAGCTTTTCGAGTCACGAGGTGGGCATCCTCTGTCCCACTCCCTGGTGGAGTCATCTTTACAGTGTCACCGAAGGTTCCGAAAGTTTGTTCGAAGTCTCATACTATGGTGGTGACTTTGTCAGTATTAGTACCTAAACTACTGGGCCAAGACGAGTTGGTAGGAGGGACCAAATAGAGATACTAATTTTGCTTGTATGGGTGTAGTGTTTTTGTGTTTGCGTCTGTAAGTTTTGTCTTTTCTTAATATGTGTACACTTGCGTTGATGTTACTTGGACATATCCTGTTTAGTATACTTTTATTTCTCGGATTGTTCTCAACCGGATTGCTTATCGAAAGTAATAAGTACCATGACTTGTGGGTTCACCTGTTGGACGACTCTCCGTCCCGGGGCGAGTGGAGTCATCACAATGCAATGAATTCACTTTACCTGGGGGAAGCCCCCCTATATTTCCTAACAGTACAGCCCTCCCCAGTTCAACCCTGCATGCTACCTGTTGAGCACAAATTTAAAAAAATAAAATAAGATACATGTAATAGTTCTTTCTTTTGCCTTGTTTAGAGACCATGTTTGGCACTGGCATGTTAAGGTTGGTATGAAGATGCTATTGATGATCTGGGATTTCACTTTGGTTGGGATGTTCTTGTAACTGAGCAGGGGTGCTAGCTGGTAGGTCACTGCATTTGCCTTCGTAGTTCTTGTTTCTATTTCTTTGTCCATACGCCTATCTTGTGTGAAGATGCTTCCCAAATATTTAAATTCCTCTACTTGTTTGAGTTGTGTTCCGTCAACAAGGATGTTGAGTTTCCCTGGGTTTCTTCTGACCTTCATAACTTGTTTCTGAAAAGGAAATTTTCATGTGTAGGTGTTTACATTCCTCATTTAGTTTTGTGGTGTGTTTTTGTAATTCCTCTTTATCTGTATTTAATATACTCTGGTCATCAGCCAATAGAAGCTCGTACAGTTCAGTGATGTTGTCATTTGTTGCTTACATGATCTTACCCATGTAAGTGATGAAGAGAAGAGGAGAGAGAACACACCCTTGTCTCAACCTGGACCTGATGGGGAACCAATATTTTAGTACTTCTGTTGGTCTTACGGCTTACAGGCTGTTCTTATAAACTGCCATGATATTCTTCAGCAATTATCATGTTACACCATATTCCTCTAAGACTTCCCAAAGTTGACATCTATTTACCCGGTCGAATGCCTTTTCCTGGTCCACGAAGAAGATATTGAGGTCTTTGTCATGTGCAATGGCAGTCTCACACAACTGTCTTAACGCAAAAATGTCAGTAGGGCCCCTGCCTTTTTTTAAGCCAAACTGGGATTCACTGAGTTGAATCTCTATAATTGGTCACATTCTCATTTCCAGTATCTTGGCAAACATTTTACCCACAAGGCTGAGAAGGGATATTCCTCTGTAGGTTCCACAGTCTCTTTTGTCGCCTTTCTTTTTCCAAATAGGTACAATGACAGCTCGTTGCCAGTCATCGGGTATTGTTTTTGTCGCCCAGGCCAGGTTAAATATCCTCCATTGCTAGAGTTCACCGATATGGCCGCTTAGCTTGATCTCTTCTGCTGTGATGTTATCAATACCTGACGCTTTGTTTGTGGGGCTTTTCCTTATAAAATGTTGGGTTTCGCTCAACAGTATTGATGATTCTGGAGTGATTTCTTTGGTGGGAAGCTGTTTGGTGTAGTTTCTCCTGTAGGATTCAGCAAAAAGATAGATATAGTACCATCGAACAAAATAAAAGGCCAGTCGTTTTTTGGCACAACTCTTGAGTTATGCCATTTTGCTAGCCCAGTGACGATTTGCGTTTCACTCCCACAAAACCCACCACTCCCTTACCTCCTACTGCACCTCCATTTTTCTTTCTGATTTTCTCATTGATTGTGACTATTCAATCCTACTTTATTTCTCTTGCTGTGCCGTTTAATTGTTTTTGTCAGTTTAGAGGTCCTTCTTCTTAACTTTCCTTCTGCAGCTTCCAACTGTCTGTCTTTCTTTTATCTTTTACCCTGCACTTAATGACCTTCCAAGCATCAGTGTGCTTCTGTTTGTTCGAACTGAAAAGATTTACTGAAATAATTTGTTGAAAGGGGGGATTGAAGCTCTTGTTTTCTTTTGGGACGTATGTCTCACATTCTGGTAGGGCAGACTGTATGTCCTATTATGTTTTCTCAAAGGTCGTCTTTGTTTTAGGCTTTTTAAAGTTTTAGTTGTGTGCGTGGTTGGAAGGCGCCACTGGCAGGTCCTACTTCTTTACTTTCCGTCTGTTTCTATCTGCATGTCTGACTCTTTCCCAGCATTAAATAACCATTTTTGTGTCAATCTGCTTTTCTTTCCTGAAACAATTTGTTTTAATTAAAAAAGAATTAGATCAAGACAGAACAACAGAAACATCAGGGGAAAAGAAAAGAAGTAGGACCTACCAGTGGTGTACTCCAACCACCTGCATTTTGTCTTTGTGCTATGTCTAGTGCCTCGGGAGGGGGTGGGGGAGGGGGTGTCTAAGTTAAAAGGTCGTAGGCCTAGACCCTGGCTCTCTAGTGTAGAATGTTTGATGTCCTCTAGTTTGTTTTACATTGTTCATCATGAAGTCCTAGTGGTGAAATGGACAATTTCCTAATTGCTGAATACTTACCAAACTGTAATATTCAAGTTTCTTCATTTTGCAGCAATTTATTTTGTTGTTCTCCTTTCAAAAAGTGTTTCCATTTGGTTACTGGCAGGGACTGAAGTATGTGAATGATAGTGCTGGGCCTTTGAACAGTCAGTGTCACAATATTTTGCAGCTGAACTGAAGTGGGAGATTGATAAGAAAAGATGTGATAAGATGTTATTGATCCTCTTCGTGTTCTGTCAATCAGGGGCTGGATGCGACGCTTACCTAGGCTACTGTGACATTCTGTCCAAGTGCCGGAAGTACGATGCTGAAGGACCCTTCAAGCAGCTCACAGACCTCATATTTGACCCCATGAACTTTCAAAAAGTGGCAGACTGGATTACAGTAAGTGTTGGGTTGTTATGACGAACTGTTTTGCATGTTGTGTGTCTGTATGTCTGCCGGACTGTCCATCAGTATAAATTTAGCGGAATTGTTATTGGGGAAGGTTTAGGTGGTGATCTCTTCCAGATCATCATTGTATATTTTTTTGGTTTGTTTATGGTTTATGGGTTGTTTTGGGAGTTGTTTCTTCTTTTTTTTTTGGTGCAGGGGGAGGCGCCGGGGTGTTTTGAGGTGATGTTTGCTAGGCCATCATTCTGCTGGTATGCTTCTCTGTGCTTCAAACAAACAGGAAAGTACAATGCTTCTGTTTTTTCTGTCAACTCTTTGTGCAAACGTGTAGTGGTGTGTAGTTATCAGTCTCTCCGGTGTGTTTTGCTCCTTCTTTCCTATCAAACATCGATGTCCTCGTCTCTCCTTCTTATTTTTTGTGTTTGTTACTCTCTTATAACACCTCTAATGTTTGGCACTAATATGACTTTCTTGTGTTGCAAGTGGCGTAAAACTCCTTCGAAAACTTACTCTTTCCCAATGCTAAATGACCAGTATCAGTGTACAGTCAAACCTGTTCAAGAGGACGGCACATTGTGGAGGAGAAAAGTGGTCATCCTAGACAGGTACTCCTCTTGGAGAGTTGTTATAATATAAAGAAGAACACTAGAGAGGAAGTGGGAAGTTGTTGTTTGCGCTGGTGATTGTCTTGGATGAGTGGTCATTAGAACAAGTTTTACTGTTCCTCTTCCTTTACTCAAAACAATCCTATTCTATCCCCTTCATTCAGGAAAAGTGGTGGGCTGTTCTACTGATGTGCGTCGGCTTTTTCATCTTCATGGGCGTGTTTGTCTGGGTGTTCAAGTACAACACACCAAGGACAAATCCGAAGAAAAGACGACAGCAGCCGAGAGCAGCCCAAAGTCAAGGGCAGAACCCACGGCAACAAAATCGACCACGCCAGCAGCCAGACAAGGTAAATATGTTACTTACAATGACTAGTTTTGATGGTCATTGTTCTCGAGGTCCTTTGTTGTCGTTGTTATTATGTTATATTATTGTCCCTCCTCCCCTTGGCTTGCCATGTGCACTGTTTATTTTTCGCCAGAGCCTCTTTTGTTCCTTTACATTGAAATTAGAAGTTGTCACTCTCATGATGGGAAGCATTATATTTCTGTTGCAAAAAATTTGTGTCACTCTGATTGAACTTGCCTTAGGCCTGGCGCACACTAAGAAAATTTCCACTGGTTGTGAATTTGCAATTCTCGCCAGTTTGTTTCTCCTCATGGCCAATTTACATCATATTTTGCAGCCATGTCACAAGTAGAAATTTTCCCCTATGTTTGCTGTGCTTTTACAGGGTGTTTAAAAAAACTCATTGGGGTGACTCATCTTTCTTGCGACAGAGATGATGGTGTTAATTCAAAGAATGTTTGTATGCCATGGGTAGTGTTTGATGACCAGTGTTGTTTTTCACAGAATAATTTAACCCTTACAGCACCAAGCTACTTGTAACCCTTATTTCCTTCTGGCCCAGGTAAAACTGGAGTCCTTGACTCCTCAGGCCCATCCTATACTGATTTCATATCTGCAATTTTTGGCAGACATAAAAAAAAAATTCTACTGCCTGCCTTTGAAGTTTTAAAAGATAACATGCAGAATATTTTTTTAGAAACAATAGGTTAGATTATTTTACCAGTACTCTAAGGTATTTAATAAAGGGTCCCCCCCCCCACCCCCCCTTTATTAGTTTTCAGTTTTTTTGCCCCACCCGCGCCTTATTCCATATCCCCTGTTTATTATTTTCCAGCTTGCCACGACAGACCATCATATGAATTATTATATATCTAGAACCTACGTCTCTGAATTAAACTTTTTTTGTGTGTAAATGGCAAATTATCCTCAGTATTAGTACCAGTACCGGGATGGCTACCACAATTTTCTGTGCATTTGAAAAACTTTTGTAAATTGGTTAATATTTTTTTAATGAAACTGGTTTGTACCCAAATGGGACAAGTTGTTACCGTAACTTACTAAAATCACTAAAATTTCATGTTCTCTTGTTCTTTTATTCACTGAAGGAGAAATAAAACAGATTTGTTCCTTCTAGTACAGGGATATGAGGTTGAATATGCCGCTGCCACCCCACCACCCCCCCTCCCCTTTTATTCCTACCCCCCCCCCCCCCCCCCCCCCCCCCCTTTATTCAATACCTTAGAGTATACGACTGGGTTTGCTGTGGGCGATGCCCTGTGAGGGAAATATGTGTGACTGGGCCTGGGGGAATGAGGACTTGTGAGGCAAATATACACAGCTGGGGCTGTAAGTTAAAGTAGTTGTGGGTGCTGATCGATACCATTACTCAGTAGTTATTAAGAACGAACTGCTCAATAAGTACATGTACTTAGATATTTTCATCGCTTAGTCGATACTAATCAATGCTCAAGTTTTGGTATGCTGGGATTTTTAAAAAAACAAACTTTTTTTGTAACTAAATAGCGTTGGAAAGGCTGCTGATCAAAAAACTATTGTCCGTGATATACAAAGTAATGCAACTCATTTCCATGGTGGAAGTTGGGGGGATTCTAAAAGTATGTGTAAAAAAAACCGAAGCCCTGCCCCCCCCCCCCCCCCCAAAAAAAAACCCCAACCAAAAACAACAACCAAAAACAAAACAAAAATTAACTTAAAAAACCCTAACTGCAAAAGACTCAGTCTAGGCTAATGCATGTAGATATACTAGCCTACTGCATTTCGTGGCCTTTTATGGCAAAAAAATGATTGACATTATTACAGTAAGGAACCTTTTGTTAGTATCCTTGTTGAATCTTAGTAAGTTCTCAGCACTTATCAATATTGGGTTCTCTTAGTCAATAAGGTACTCAATACTGGCCAGTATCGACTAGCGCTCACCCCCAGCTGTAAGTGTTCAAATGTAGTGCCTTGAACTCTCTCCATGTCCAATTATTATCTCATTTTAGTTTTAGTAGAAGTTTTACGGCTCTCGCAACTGCATAAGGTCATATGAGCGCCAGAAGAATAGAGGAGTTAGAAGAGAGTAACAAACATAAAAAGAAGGGGAGATAAGGACGATAGATGTTTGACAGGAAAGAAGGATTATTATCTCACTTTTTTGTAATTTAAAGACTAGTGTCACAGTGTGTGCTGAGCAACATTGAAAGAGTTTAGTGACCTTTTGAGTGGATTGTTATGATTCGATTTGTTTTAGAATGAAACATTTTCCCAATATCAGTATTGGAATAAAATGGATAAAGTAGTCTACCTTTAAAAATGTACAATCTTCCATTTCATGTGTAGATTTAGTTGTTTTTAGTTGGGTTTTTTCTTTAATATATGACCTAGAATAAGTAACAGACTATATTATGTGTTCGGTGCATGGAGCTTTGAGCTTTAGGTTCTAGAACTCAAATAGATTCAAGGAATGATGTAAAAATATGCTAAGATCCCCCCCCCCCAATATGAGAAGCACATTTGTGTAGCTAGTATCTTACACATTTTTACGTTCAAATTGTTGCTTTAGATTACAGCCTTGTCTAGTAACATTTTTTTGTTTATTTTCCATTGATTTCTTTGTTGTGGAATTAATCTATAAATTTACTATAAATAACAGCTTATTTTACCAAGGAAGTGAAGATAGATTTTGATCAGGCTTGCAATGGAATGAGTCAGATATCTCCTGCAATTTTGTGACAAAAGCTTTATGGTGATAATGATAATAATTATGAAGATGAATTTAAAATTCTAGAAACATTTGAAAATGAATTGTCTGTCTGTCTGTTTGTCTGTCTCTCCCCACCTCCTCCCCTCATCCCTACCTCTACTTTCCATTGCTGCTTTTGTCTAGTGCTTTTTTCGCCCACTGAATGGCCGGTATTGTTTGTTTTAATGTGGATTTTTTTTTTAACCTGTCCCCCTCCTTCTCCATTTCACCCTCCCCTACCCCCAAAATCCAAAGAAAAAAAAACCAATCTCCCCCCTCCCCCCTTCCACCAAAAAAACCCCCAACAACAAACAAACAAACAACAGCAAACCAACCAAAAACCAAGTCCACTTTGTGTCTTTATGCGCGACGCGACGTCGTGTTGCGTGTGGTCCTTGCCACTCAAAATCAGTCAAGTTATACGGGGTGCCCACTACGGCGGGATCGGGCCGATCGCACGACTCGATCGCCTGAAACTGAAAACAAAAACGTTTGTTTTTTAGGCGATCGAGTCGGTTTGTTTTTTAGGCGATCGAGTCGGTCGATTCTCCCGATCGCCGTATAAGATTATAAAAGAAACCGTCTCCTTACACTCGACGCGATGTTTAGTTGTACGCGACTGTCGCTTGCGTTCGGTCCGTGTAGCGATCGAGGGTCTCGTCGCGTGCGACAGACTGGGGTTGTGACAAGTTCAGAGCATGACCGTTGGTCAAAATACCGAGCCAAGGAGTGCCGGTCGACACGCCGGGTGTGGTGTGATGAGTGGTGTCATGTATTGTGGTGTGTGGTGGTGGTGGTGGTGTGTGTGTGTGTGTAGAGGATGTTCGTCTTCAAATCGATCCAATGCAAGTGTTGTGAATCTAATTTTGCTGTTGTTTTTTTTTTAACGGACATCAGGAAGGGGAGGAGGAGGAGGAGGAGGAGGAGGAGGAGGACTTACACGTGATTGGCCGTGTACGGATTCAAAAACGTCAGCCGCTCGTAAAACTCCCATCTGACGGACTTCAGAGTTCCGTATCCGTCTTGACATTAAAATGTGCCACTGTCTTTCTTCTGTGAATTGCCAGTCACGCGAGAGCTTAACCAGTCGCGCACGGTTAAATGTAGCATCGCTTTTGTCACACGACTGAAAATTTTGGCACGATGTGGACGCGCTTAAGGATACACACCTCACGACTCGTCACTAGCGACTGTCGCGCGCGACTAGACGTCACGTCGCGCATAAGGAGACGTAGGCTAAGAGGTGAAGTTGCGTTTTCTGTTGTTGTTATTGGGTTTTTCCCTCATAACCGAATTGCTTTTAAAAATGGCTCTCTCTGTAGTTTTGTAGTTCTTGTTCTATGGTGTGTGTGATGCGTATGTATGTGTAGATTTAAATCTATGTGTAAAATATTTTAGGAAGTCTTTTGAAAACGCAAATAAACACACACTCACACACACACACACACACACACACACACACACACACACACACACACACACAGAGAGAGAGAGAGAGAGAGAGACACACACACACACACACACACACAGACACACACTCGCAATCACATACACACATACACCAACACACACAATCCCGAGAAACCTACACCCATACAGACACACACACAAATGTACTCACACACACTTAGACCTTGACTTTAGTGTATTCTATCTATCAATCTCTCGTTATTTCTTTCAAAAATTGGGTCCTGGTGATTTGTTTTCTTTGACATTCCCTTTTGACCTACTGTGTTTAGTAGGGCTCTACATTCGCTTCAAACCGAGCTGTTATACCTCACCACAGTTTCGGTTAGCTCCGTCATATTGAGCCATGGTGCAGACGGCTTTGGTTCAAATCCTTTTTAGGGCCATTTTATTCATTTCTGTTGTTTTGGGAGTTTTTAAGGCTCATCACTCTCTTGGCCAGGTCACCACTCTCTTAGACTTTGAATTAGGAGGCTGCGCCTGTTAGTTTACACTAATGTATTGAAGAAAAGGGTGCTTAATAATAATAATATAAACCTGTACAGTTAACCACAATGTCTTATCCAATGTTCTGCTTTGTGTCACCCATGACAGTATTAAGGTGAGTTGCTTCATCAAAGCTTGGATCGTATTTCAAGACCGCATCATGCTCTTTTGTATTGTTTTTTGGTTTTTTTTAAATTACAGAAACAGTTATAACATCTTATATATTCGTGTCCTGTTTGCTTTTTCTGCGGTGCGATTTATTCTGTTCTCTACATATACTTATATACTTCGTCGGAATGAGC